TTGGCAGCCTGTCACACACCTGGGGTTTCCCGGGACAACGTTGCTGCTGCTTTCGTTCATTTACAACAAGAATACTCCTTCAAAACGAAGACACCATTCCCGCCCTCCCTTGCTCTGGGATGATGGCTTCTTCGTTGGGGTCAGGCGGCTGGGAGGATGTGCCAGTCTGTTGTCATGGGGACGCGTCCTGGGCCCTGAGCTGGTGGCAGTGGGCGTCACTTGCCTGGACCCCGCGGGCTCCTGTCCACGTGCGTTGGGGCGGGGCAGGATGCCCTGCTCACGCCGCTCCCGTTCTCTCCGACTCGGGCCTTCATAACCAGGGCGGGTGAAACACGGCAGCTTCTAAAGCACGGCGTCTTCCTCCAGTTGCTGCCGGTACTGATGGAAGGCCTGCGGTCTGACAGCCACCGTCCCCGCGGCTCCGCACGGGCAAGCATGCTTCCTTGGCGTGGCCGCCGTCTGTGCGCGCAGTCCACAGTGTCCTCACAGCGGCCACGTCCACGCCGGCCCTGCGCCGGGTCACGAGGAGACAGCAGTGGAAGCTGCCCTTGACCTCAGAGAGCTGCGTGTGCACCTGTGCCCAGCACCAGCGGCCGTGGGAGACCTGGAGGTCTCAGAGCACCTGCTGGCCAGGAGAGCCCCGGGCGGCCCTCGTTCCGTGCTGTGTGCGTGGGGCGCTGGGTCTGTGCGCTTCCCAAAGTTCTCTCTCCCCATCCTGGCGGGAAGCTTGTCGGTCGGCGTCCAAGTCTCGGCGCGGTATCTCTGGTGCAAACCAAGACGTGGTGGAAGACCAGCCAGCAGAGGTCAAAGAAGACTCGGTTCTCTTCTGTCTGGCTCGGTGTGTTTGTGTCGCCCTGTCCTGTCCTGGCACAGACGGGATCCCTGAGAGAGGAGCTCTCTGGGCTGAGGTCTGTCCAGTCCAGGGGCACCTGAAATCCCGTTTCATGACCTCGTTTTGAACAGGCGGCCTCAAAGCTTCCTTTTCCTGTTCCTTTCAATCTTGGCTTTCCAAAATCCTTCTGCATAAAATATGCAGCGAAGTTCTCTTCTGATTATGCTTAATCCTGTTTTGAGAGATTTCAGCAAAGTAGGGGATTATTTGCTTCCTGTTTAAAAGAAAATTGTAGCCATGACCATTATAAAACACTGTTGTTTATTCCCAGTGTACTGAGACCGTCACGTTTTGATAGTTTCCATGACGAACTTATCTCGATACCCAAACAAGTTTGCGTCCCTATTTTGCTTTGCAATTGAGAGGGGGAGAATCAACAACCTGGTAGAAATGAATTGCTTATAAAACTCATTAACTAAAAATTTGTGAAAATTTTCTATTACAAGCCTGTAGTTATTGATGCCTGCTGAGCACAGGGCTGACTTCTTTATTGGCAAAGCCCTGGCTCTTTCAGGTAAGAGCAAAAATATTTAACCAAATTTGCCTCAGATAGTTTTTCTTTGGTTTAGTAAAAAGTGATTAGATTCTTCAATTAGAAGGAGATTCAATTAACAGTTTTATTTCATTAACATACTAATATTATAGTATTTGGTTAAGGTAGATTTTCCCATGAGGTCAATATTGATTGACCAAATAGAAAAGTACTATGATCCAAAATATTATGACACCACTTCATACCCACTGAGATGACTGTCACAATTTGAAAAAAAAAAAAAAAGACAAATATTGGCGAGAGAATTGGAATAGTTTTCCGCTGTTGGCTGGAATGTAAAATGGTTCAGTCACGGCGGAAACCAGTCCAGTGCTTCCTCCATAAGTTAAACACGGAATTGCCGTGTGACCCATGAATTCTGCTCCTGGGTATTGACCCCAAAGACTTGCAAACAGGTGTTCCAACAAAAACCTGCATGCGAATGTTTACAACAGCACTGCTCACAGCGGCCCAAAGATGGAAAAGCCAGCGTCGGTCAGCAGGTGAACCGACAAACCATGGTCTCTCCGTACACGGGAACATTATCTGGCCGTAGAAAGGACCGGCGCTCTGATACACGCCGTGGCGTCGTAAATGAACCTGGAAGACATCGTGCTGAGTGGGGGAGTCAGGCCACAGATTGTAGGCTCTATTTACGTGAAGTGTCAGAACAGAGACAGAAAGTAGATTATAAGTGCTGGAGGTGAGATGGGAGGGAAACAGGGAGTGACTGCTTAGTGGGCACGGGGTTTCCTTTTGGGGTGATGGAAACTTCTGGAACGAGACAGAAGTGAAGGTTGCACAACACTGAGAAAATATTAAATTGTTCACTTTAAAACAGTTAAAACGGTAAATCGTGTTACACGTAGCTGTACCATAATAAAAAACACTTTGCATATGATTTGAGGATTCACTATCCAGTCAGTCGGCAGTAAAGCGCCCAAAGAAAAATTTCAAAAGGCCCCTGAACAGTTAGGAACCTGCTCGGTTTTAACTTAACTGCAGGCATCACACAGAGCAAAAATGCCGTGAGGGCAGAAATTTACCCCCTGTAAGTAAAGTGTCAAGGGGTGCATGTCGAACCCTACTATCCTATCCTTTCAAAAGTGATTAAAAATTACAGAGTTGGGAATAATATAATTTGAGGGCATGCATGCATCATATTCTGATTTTTATGAAGGGGGACGTCTAATCTTGACTACGCGTGCACACCAAGCACACACTGGTGTGAAGTGGCCGTGAGAACAGAGGGGGTGTCCCTGTCTTGCTGCAAACTCCCCGTGGTTTTCTCCGCCACTCGGCAGGCCGGATCTGAGTGGCTGCCGCTCAGACTTCTCCGTAGTAAAGATCTTGTACCTGGTTTAACACCAAGTACCTGGAGTAAGGAATAACAAACAGGTAGAGTGAGCCGGGACAGGAGGTTTGCTGGCTCGCATTTGTGTTTGACGGGGCGACCGCAGGCCGGCTTGAGGGGGAGACTTAACGTGCTCCACGCCGCTGGGCCCTGACGTCCCCCATGACTAAATCGTCTGCAATACGCCAGGCGTGAACTCGGGACTTAATATTCTATGAAACCAAGGGCTGCATGTCTCTGAACTATCCGACCAGCAGCAAACGCGAGGTCTTTAAAAGCAGCCCGAGCCGGGAACGAAGCCCACACGTTGTTTGGGAAAAGGGACGCTTTTTTGGCACGATCTGCGGCAGCTCAAATATTGGGAATAATTTATAGCTCCGCCCCTGCCCTGCACCCTCGAAAGCTGGAAGCCGCCTCCCTTTTCCTTTTAGATGGTCGAAACCACAGGTTAGACTAAAATAAAAAAAAAAAAAGAAGACACAGGACAGCAGTCCACTGAGGCAGAGATTTCTCCTCGGCTGAAACACAGGCTGCAGTAAATCCACGGCAGCCCAGGGCCGGCCGGCCGGGCCGAAACGCAGCTGGGACGAGGGCAGGAGCCGGGGTGAGGGAGCTAGATCCCGACCCACAGGCCCCCCGCCCCCCGCCGGCCCTCGCCGGGCAGCTCCACAAACGCCTGGGATGAGCCGTGTGCGGGCCGTAAAGGACTCTCGGCGCAGACAGCGCCCACGCTCGGCACTCCGTGGCCATCCGTCTGCGCCGGCGCCCTTGAGCGAGTGCCCGGCACGGCGTCCAGTCGTGGCCAGCAGTCTCTGACCGCCAGGGAGCCGGAGAGTCACCGTCTGGGACGGGAGTGGACGTCACTCGGGAAGTGCCTCTCGGAGTCGAAAACTGGGACGGCCATGCTTTCCGAGTGTTAAATTCAAATGAACAGCACCCTGTGATGGTCCAGAGCAGTAAAGCCCACGTTGTGGTGTATTCCTGGCGTCAGAGCCCCAGAGCAAATGTCGTGACTTTCTTCCCAGGTGGTGGGAAGCCACGGGGTGCCCAGGTGGAGGAGCCCTCGCTGACCCCCCGGGTCTCGTACCTGGCCCTCATTGACCCGGGGCTCACACCTGGCCCTCGTTGACCCGGGGCTCGCACCTGGCCCTCGTTGACCTGGGGCTCGCACCTGGCCCTCAATGACCTGGGACTCGTACCTGGCCCTCGCTGCCCCCCCGGGGCTCATGCCTGGCCCTCATTGACCCGGGGCTCGAATTTTCACGCCCAGAGTCTGCAACGAGCATCAGGGACAGGCTGTGTGGTCTTCAGACCCTGGGTCAGTCCTGGTTGTGCCATTCGAGGAGAGCCACGGATCTCGTGCTGTTGGTTTCGTGTCTCTGTTTCCCACGCAGTGTTTTCCAGAGTGAGATGAGATGTGCTCGTACAATTTTAGACTTTTCCACCTTTATAGTTTATCGAGTCCCTGGGGATATCGGCCTAAGTAGCAGCAGCAGCATAGCGTTTTATATCAAATTGCAATTTGCAGTAATTTTAACATGAATCCGTGAACATTCGGGGGAAGGAGGAGGTGTTCTTTTATCCACTTGATTGTCAGACTTTCCCTGTGAAATTGGAAGGGGCAGGAGCTTAGTGTCCACTCTGAGATCCCAGGAAACTAAGAAACAGAAAACAGTGATAAACCACGGGTTCCTGACAAAGCTGGCTTCAGCGTGGCAGGTGCCCTGGCCGCAGGTGTGCGTGGAAGGTCCCTATGAGGTGTCCCAAAGTCCTTCCCCTGGTCTCTTCCCTTTGGTCTTGTTCTAACGGTAGCATCTGGACCTGCCCTGGCTCTGTGTCTGGACTTGCTCCTGGTGTGCTCAGACAGGTGTCTGTGGACTGGCAGAGCCCGCCTGTGCCTGGCCAGACAGCCAGCGGTTCTTCCTTTCCAGGGCCCACCCCACTCCCCAGGGACCGGCTGAGCCTCAGTTTCCCTACTCATCCTGTGTGGATAATGATCTGCTCTTCACCCCACCTTCATGCCCTGCAAGCCTTTCTCCAGTATAGAAACAGGGCTGCCCACCTGCAGCACCTGCTCTCCTTGCTGGGAGCCATGTTGCCTGCGGAGCCCCTTCTGGCCTCGGGGTTCTCGCCGCGTCTGTGACTCGCGCATTTGCATCTCACGGGACTCTGTGGCCCGTCTTCCCGCAGTTGCGTGACCTCTGCCCTCTGCTCTCCCGCAGACATGTCCAGGTGTGTGGCCGAAAGGAAGTACACCCAGGAGCAGGCCCGCAAGGAGTTCCAGCAAGTGTTCATTCCCGAGTGCAACGACGACGGCACCTACAGCCAGGTTACCGGCCTCGGGGGTCTGCACCGGGCAGATGGGGGGACGGCGCGGGCGGGGGGGGGGCATGGAAGGAGGAGCAGGGTTATTCTGCGGGAAAGTCACCGTCTGCATTTTAGAGGTCAGTTCACAGCGAGCCCAACTGGCGCAAACGGACGCGCAGGTAGATGTCCGCGCTGACCCCTCGGCTGGCCCCGCTGCCCTGCCCTTGCCGCTGTCCGTCTGCCCCTTCCTCTGAATCCGCACGTGGCAGCTCCCCCTGAGGCTCATTAGACCCCGCTGACCTGCTGCTCACTGCCGGGAGTTTAACTTGGGTTTAGCTGTGATGACGGGGGCGCGCTGGCGTCACAGGGCGCCCGCCTGTGCAGGAGTGAGCTCCCCGACGCAGAGTCCCAGCGACCAGTTTGCAGACGGAGGCTGACCTCAGATTCGCAGCCGACGGCACTGCCGAGAGCATCCCCCGATTCTCTATTCTGATGTGGCAGTACTGTTATTCTTTGTTAAGGGAAAAAAAAACAAAACCTAAGATACAACGCTAGCTAACAAGGTGGCAGGAAAACAAAAGCGGAGCCACGCCCGTGATGCATCAGGAAATAGCGAGAGTTCCGCGTCTGTGCAGTAATCGTTGTCTGACCTTTCAAGGACGAGTGCAGGCCAGGACGGGAGAGAATGCAGAGGGGTTGGTACTAAGGAAGTGCCCGGCTATCGCTAGTGGTGTCTGGCGTTGGAGGGGTGCATCCTGCCAGCGGCTGGACACCAGACCCCTCCCACTGGCCCTGGCAGGGACCGACGGGATGGGGGGGACCCTGAGCGAGTCTCCTGACTGCTTCGGGCCTCAGTGTCCCCATTTGCAGGACGAGAGCTTGGGCTCCGTCTGGAAGGCCGTGAGGCTTACACGCTTCACGCCCCCCGGCACGTGCCAGCAGCTCGGAGGGGTCGTCTGTGAAACCCCGTGGTCCAGGGCAGCCCTTGTCCCCCCTGCACACGCAAAGCAGCAGAGTTAGGGGCGCTGGGTGCGCTGACACCTGTCACCTGTCAGGTGCTTCGTGTGCCAGCCCAGGAGAGCTGACCCCGCCCTGTCCCCTCCGGCAGGTCCAGTGCCACAGCTACACGGGATACTGCTGGTGCGTCACGCCCAACGGGAGGCCCATCAGCGGCACGGCCGTGGCCCACAAGACGCCCAGGTGCCCCGGTAGGTCCGACTCGACTTCCCAGCGGGAAACGTCCACGGGCGTGAGTCTAGCGCTTCCTCCCGGCATCTTGCCCGTGCTGATTCGTAATTAGTTCGGAAGCAGATTCGGTTCGGGTGGATTGTCAGCAGCCGTGGGTTTGGGTCACTGGGCAATATCACTGAGATATTGCCCACACTGGTTTCTGAGAGGAGAAAAGCAAAGGTGTGTGAGTGTGCACAGGTGGGCAGAGGGCAGCTCAGAGAGACTCCCAGGTCCAAACCACGGTGGGTAAGATTCTGGATCTTCGTTTTAAAAATAACCCCAAGTCACCGGTGAAAATGCACAACTGTTTTCTTCTGCCAAAAAAGTGAATATTTCTGGTTTCATATGGATGTTTTCAAAGAAAAAGTGGGTCATTCTTCATGGATCAATATCCAAATGGTTTACTTGTGTCATTTTGTTACTCAGAAGAGGGCTTGATGGGACTGAAAGTAACAAAATTAAGCAGGATAAAAACCTACAAAATATTCTCTTTTCCATTATCGTTTTATGGAAAATGCTACAAATGATTCATATCATTTTCATCTGAAAATAATCTGCAGCCCAGGTTTGATTAACTTGTTGGGGAGAGTTACCCAGAACGTGGACCAAATATGAAGAAATTTCATGATCCATCCATCCAAATTCCTCGATCGTACAGATTAAGATAGGTAACACATTCCATCATATTAATATAACAGCTGAGGTGAGAAACATTGTTCTTAGTTTTTCATGTAAAACATTGAAACATTTGCATTTAGGGTTTACTTCTAGACTTGTTTTTCTCTTTAAGTGGCAGGCGTCTTATACCCGGGAATTCCGTTTGTGATTCAGACATTGTGAATGCCCCACAGCCCGGGCACAGGGTGGACTCAGGGCTGTCCACAGCTTCTGTGAGAAGGATGAGATTTGCAATTCACAGTAACATAAAGCCGATTTTTTTTTATAGTGACTGGTCATTGCTGAAAGGCCTTGGGGTGTGTGCATCCCGTGGAACTAAAAACATGTTTAGTTTTAAAACTGTTCTATAATCCAGGGCCTAAAAATTGCTGAAAATGTATTTTTCGTAAGCCGACATTCACTTCTAATAGTTCTTTTTACAAATTCATGTGGGAAGAGAAAAAGAAAAAAGGGACATGATGAAGTTGTCCTCAGTGCGTGTCGCTCACTCTGCGAGACGCCTCTCGTGCGGTTTGGTCCCTTCTGTGCCGTGGGTGCTGAGCTGAGCCTTGCGTTAGGAAGGAGAAAGCGGCATGCGTATCTACTTTTGTGATTTTAGTGATACCATCTGAAAAATTAAGAAGTGTCCCAAAGCACTTTCTCATAAAAAAAAAAAAAAACACATGCAAAATCGGTTGAATTTCGTGCCGTCTCCAAATACCGCTTTGTCTCTGGAGTTGGTGGACTCTTCTCTTGCTTTGTTTTTTCCAGCCAGGTATCAGGAACATTTCCCTGTATAGAAATGGTCCGTTTTTTTTTTTTTTTTAACTACTCATGTTGGTTTTTTGGTTCAAGGAGTGGATTAGGGAAGAAAGAGTGTCCTGTCCTTTTACTTAAAAGTCTGGTACGTGTTGTGCGGAAAATGCCACTGAGTAGGAAGCCGAGTGTTCCGGATTAAGCGTGCTGATTTAGGGGGGTGGTCTCCCCTGGAAGAATGCGTCGCAATCGGCTGAGGTTTCCTGTCCCTGGCGTGGCTCTGACTACACCCTGGACGCCGGCTTGGCAGGTGTCATCCTGCACCTGCTCGCCTGGTCACTGTGACTGATACGTTCTGTGTCTCCCACACGGTGACAGAAAACTCTCTGACCCACAGCTGCCATGCATGGTTTGTTCTGTGCACACATGGGTGTGGGGGTGCAGGTGTCAGTGCATGGTTTGTTCTGTGCACACGTGGACGTGAGGGCGCAGGTGTCAGTGCATGGTTTGTTCTGTGCACACGTGGGCGTGGGGGCACAGGTGTCAGTGCATGGTTTGTTCTGTGTACACGTGGGCGTGGGGGCGCAGGTGTCAGTGCATGGTTTGTTCTGTGCACACGTGGGCGTGGGGGCACAGGTGTCAGTGCATGGTTTGTTCTGTGCACACTTGGGGGTGGGGGCGCAGGTGTCAGTGCATGGTTTGTTCTGTGCACACGTGGGTGTGGGGGTGCAGGTGTCAGTTCATGGTTTGTTCTGTGCACACGTGGGTGTGGGGGTGCAGGTGTCAGTGCATGGTTTGTTCTGTGCACACGTGGGTGTGGGGGCGCAGGTGTCAGTGCATGGTTTGTTCTGTGCACACTTGGGGGTGGGGGCGCAGGTGTCAGTGCATGGTTTGTTCTGTGCACACGTGGGTGTGGGGGTGCAGGTGTCAGTGCATGGTTTGTTCTGTGCACATGTGGGTGTGGGGGTGCAGGTGTCAGTGCATGGTTTATTCTGTGCACATGTGGGTGTGGGGGTGCAGGTGTCAGTTCGTGGTTTATTCTGTGCACACGTGGGGGTGGGGGTGCAGGTGTCAGTGCATGGTTTGTTCTGTGCACACGTGGGCGTGGGGGCGCCATAACCCACATCTCCCCCTCTCCAAATACCGTGATATCTAAATTCGTCAAGCCTTGACCTCCTTACTTACAAGAAGAAAAGGGTTTGAATGTGGTTTTCCAGTGGCAACTTCCATCTCTGAGGCTCTGTGACAGGGTGGCACCTCCGTCCAGGTCCCGGGCGCTGAGGGTCTGGGCGGCCCGCCGAGCCGGCCTGGCCCTTCCGAGCCGAGTTAAGCCCTCGGTGAGCCTGGAAGACCATGGACGTCCACAGCTCTGATCAAGGCTACCTGCTTCCTGGGTGCTGCCAGCCTGGCGCTGATGATCAGGCGGCGCGGGTCTCCCGGCCAGCAAAGGGCCACCCTTCTCCTTCTTCCCAGACTCCTGCTCTCCCAGTGGAGATCCAGGCATGAGGGACAGAAGCTTTAAGTAGAGCGGAAAGTTTGGGGATGTCAAATCTGGTCCCTTTAGCCTCATTGACACCTGCTTGCTGGTGACTTTGGCTTATTTGGCGAAGGTGAGGTTCCTAAGACGGCCGTCGTCTCCTGCTCTCCTGAGGGCTGTGCTGCTGTCCTGGTGTCTGTCTAGAGCTCGTGCAGAACGTCCAGGCTTCGCCCTCCCTCCCAAGGACCACCCCATTTGTTGTCAAGGGACTAAGTTACCCGTCGGCCGCACTCCTGAGTGTTTCCCGGCACGGAGCTGCGTCCGCGCGAGCTCAGGCGTGTGCAGGTGCGGCAGGGCGTGGGGCAGGAGCGGCTCCCCCGCCCGGCCATGCCCGAGCGCATCGTGGAGGAGACGGGGCTGGTTCTGGCTCTCACCCCACCAGCCCTGACGGGCCAGAGGCCGGGTCTGTCCTTAGCTGAAAACCGGGCCCGCCTGAGGAGCCCGGCATCCAGTCCGAGATAATACTGTGAAGCATGTTCCCGGCTTTGCTGGCACTAAAGGCCAGGACCAAGTGGCCCTGGCTCCTTGCTGGTCTCTGGGACCCCTGGAGCCTCCTGAGAACACAGGGCTGCACCAAGCTGGGTGCCCACGGGTCTTCAGGACGCCCCTCCAGGCCTGCACAGGTGGCTGCAGCTTTAACGGGTGCAGTTTGAGCCCCGCAGAGTGATGAGATGAGGTTCTGTGTTGGCACAGAGGTTGGGACCTCCCACTCGGTACATGCGGTACCCGCGGTACACACGGTACACGGGGTACCCTTCCCCCACCCTCCTGGAGCAGCATGGCCCACATGGGTCTCACGGCTCCCCCCCAGCACCCCCCACCCCCCGCCCACACCTGCTGTGGACGCTGCAGGGAGCCCAGGCACTTCCTCATCCCGGACTTGCAGGGAGGGCGAGGCCGGCACAGGTGGGCGCTACTGTGCGACCGAAAGGCCCCTCCTGGTGGGGGGCTGGGGCTGCCGCGCACAGCTGCTCCCCGAGTCCCGGGCGCCCACGGCATTCGGAGACGCGCCCCGAGTCAGAGCGTGTCCATCCCTGTGGCGTCCCAGGTGGCACGGTGACGCCAGCGACTAAACATAGGAAATCCCAGCGGAGTGAGTAACGCCGGGAATCGCTCACCAGCTGAACGGTTTGCACTCGGGAGTGTCGATGGCACCTGGAAGTCTAGAAATGTTTGCATTTCCTCTCGTTTTCCACGGCCATGACGTGTGAGGTTGGGAAATGAAGATGGTCTCCCTGTTTCCTGCCCAGGTTCTATATCCCTGAGCCAGAAAACTTGGGGATCTACGACCACGGAGGTCACTGTGTGTTGAAAACCATTTCTTAGTGCAAAGCCTTACTTTGCCTAGTGTGTCATTTAAAGCCCCACGAAACACGTGCAACCCATCATAGCTAACTCCGTGCAATCTGCTGATACCAGAAACACCACGGTGTCCAGAGTGGGCCTGGAACTGGCTTTGAATCCGGATCTACCAGGACCAAGAGGCACTTGCGTCTTGCCTGGATGAAGACGGCACAATTGATGGGACACGGGCGTCGGCGCTATGGGTGCAGGAGGGAAGAACAGCGCCAACTAACGACCCCAGATCCGCAGCTGGGCAGGGCCGGCTGGCCCCTGTCCCCGAGACCGGGAACGCGGAAGGTGTCTAGGACCACGAGTGCATCGAAGCCGGCCGGAGCCCTTGACCCCGGAGCTGTGCCTCCCCTGTGCTGGTCTCTGCCCCCTCCCCCCACGCCGCCCCCACTCTCCGGAGGAGAAGGCGCCCGCCTGGGGCACGGAGCCAGGAGGGAGTGACAGGTGTCCTGCGCCCATGCCCCGCCCTCTGTCCCGTTGGGACTTGGCACGCTCTTTCCGTCACTCTCACACTGTCCCCTGAGGGAAGAGGCAGAGCCGCCCGCGGCCCCTCAGCAAACCAGGCACAGAGGGACCCGCTCTCCCGGTCTCCGGGGCCAGAGCAACACGGCCCTGGCTGTCCTTTTTACTTTTTCTTTCCCCCCATTTCCTTTTTCTGTCTCCCCTCGACCCTCTGCCCCAAGCAAAGCCGACCAATGTTTTAAGTCTGCCTGGGGGGGAGGGTGAGATTCTCAGAAGGGGCAGCGCACCCAGGTCCACACCACAGAGTCCAGAAAGCTGGACGAGGGCTGACCCTGCTAACTCCCTCTGCATCCCCTCCGGCCGTCCACACCGCAGGCCTCCTCTCCTCTGCGTTTAGTGCTCACGGAAGGAGCTTGCCTTAGAACACCAGCCCTTCTAGCCAACGCCCTCCCTCTGCGGCTGCTTTGGCAACGAGCGGTGGCTGCCGAGTCTGGCTGGGCCTGGACAAGTGCTCAGCACTGCGCGGCTTATAGTAGCTCATCGCTCCTCCCTCGAACCAGAGACGTTGTCCTCACCTTGTGCTCTGTGGTTTTCTCCACCGGAAATGCATACCCCGATTGCTAGACTAGCCACCGCTTTTAAAACAGCATCAAAATGGGATGAGATCTCACACGCACGGAAGAAGTCCAAGAGTGTCCTTTGGAATACAAGCCTGAGGAACGTCACTTGGCGGAGTAATCGTGTCTCTGAGCAGTGACCAGAGCTGAAGGTGGCACCCGGCCGAGGTTTGCAGAACCGTCCCTGCCTACCCAACACCGTGATGTCACCCCTTGTTTCTGCACCTGCATCCGGGAACCTCGCCCGTGGCGGACACTTGGGGTTCCGCATGTCCCTGTCTCCAGAAAAGCAGAGACGGGCAGGGGTTGTGTTTTGTTGCCTGATTCACGTCCGTTTGCACAGCTGCGCTGGTACACGGAGAGTGACGTGAGCTGTCTTCCCATCCTTCAGACGGAGGCTGGGAGGTCTGGGGACGTCCTCTGTCCCCAGGTGGCTGGAGGAGGAAGGGGTCCCTTGACAGGTCTCCTCCAGGTTGTGTTGCAAGATACGTGGATCTCGGAGCAGGTCATCGAGGGACAGATGCTTGGTTCTGTTTTAAAATTATTTCTAATCTACGGAAAACAAAGTAGAGCTATTCTTGTGCGGGCTTATTTGAGCAAATACCGGCTGAATGTCGGAGCCCGATGAGCCAGCCGCCCGCTGGCCAGCTGCGGGGAGGCGGGGCCCCTCTGCCCGAATTTCGCACCCTCGGCCTCCAGTCCCGTCTGAATCTGCGGTTCGCACGGCTCTGTCTTTAGGCTGCAAGATATTACCTGAATTCAGGGGAGACCCGCCTCACGAAGGTGTCTGATTATTATTTAGCACTTTCACGTCATGCCCTTCACAATATCAAAGCCTACATAGTTACACTCACAAATATTAGCGAAGTATTGTCCTTTCCAGTCAAAGGGAGAACTTATTTTTGACGCGTTTCGGGAACACGAGGCAATAACAGACGGAGGAGTGAGAAACGCAAGCTTGCTGAGGAAGCTGGGTCTGTGAGGCGGCGGCCCAAAGGGAGGGACAGCCAGGGAGGCTCGGAAGCTTCCGAGACGGCCGCACAACAGGGCCGGTTCCGAGTCTGGCTCTCCCACCAGTAAAAACAAAAACCCTGTGTCTGGAAGCCCGGCGGTGATGTAGACGCCCCCAAACGGTGACAGCAACAGCTGGGAAGTGAAGACTTGGTGTGGAAAGTAACTAAAACTGGTGGGCAAAGAGAGGAACCGGGAAAACCGTGTTCCTTTTTACCCATGGGGAGCGCCAGGTCTTCGCATGCGCATTATTTAGCCGTTTCTCAGGTGCGCAGCCCGGGGTGGGGGCCGGGACGCCGGGTGTCTCCCAGCGCAGTGAGCCGGGAGCGTCCCGGATAAATCCCGTGCAGACTTCCGGAGGTTGGCGTCTCCTGATAAACATCGCTGAAGAGGAGTGTTTCTGGTTGCGTTTGCTCCCTCGAGTAGAACTCACCTCGCTGCCTCTGGTCAGGGCCCAGAGGACGGAGGGCCGAGACCCTGCTCTGCCTCCCGGCCGCCCAAGCGTCTTTCCGCGGTGGATTCATCCCGTGTGGATTTCTTGCTCGTGTTGCTATCACGTTTCCAAGAAACAGCATAAAAACACCCTCAAAAACGTCGTAAACTTTATATCTTTAATATAAATCTTGGTCTGTATTTCAACATCATACTCAAAATTGAAAAAAATAAATAAATAAGTGTCCAGATCTGAGATGTTTTTGCTGCAGAGAGTTAGCTTATATATATATGGCCGTGGTCATGCTAAATTAATTCTGAACAGAACATTCTGAACTCATCAGCAGGCGAACTCATAATTCCGAACAGGACTTTTTTTTTTATTTCTTTGAGCAGGTGTAATAATGATGAGGGAACAAAAAGATGCCTATTGCAGTTTGAATCTATTGGACAAGAAAGAACAGTGCTTCGTATTTGTAATATAAATCTTTTGACATTGTATAAATGTTAAAAATTGTGTCACAAATCACATAGTATACTTCCTATACTCCAATACAAAAAGATAGTTCCTCAATTTTCATATCTATAAATTAGAATCCAATTAAACCAGGGTTTTTAATTATCTTCAGTTGCATAACATTTTATTATTCTATTATTTTAACATTATGTTACTATAACATTGCCCTTTTTACCGAATTTACTTCAGTACCCAGCATGGTGAGGTATGTTGAGAAGATCAGGATGACATTTTCGGGTGAAGAAACTGTAATATTTTGGCTAACGGGCCTTGTAGACATGTCCCACTACTTAGCACCAGAAGTAGAACCTGACCCTGTGTTTCCCAGACTAGGGCCAGCCCATGACTCAGGGTGACCTTGTGCCCTCAGGGTACCAGAGAGCTTGCAGAATTTAACTAGAAGATGCCAAAGCACTGTGAATGAATCAACATGGGGCAAACTATTTGCATAATTCAATTTTCGATAGCCATTTGACACTCCAAACTAATTTCATTCCTTATTTCCCTCTTTCAGGTTCCATAAATGAAAAGTTACCCCAACGGGAAGGCACAGGGAAAACAGGTAACTATCTTCAAATGAATTTCTCTGACCGATTTGTAACACCTAACCCAACCTGTGCCTTAAAATAACTTCTCAAGGTCACAACTTAAGCATATGCTAGTGGTGCCCGGGAGGCTGAGACAGCGTGTTGGATCTTTATTCATTCAACAAGCATTCATCCAACCTGCCAGCTGCCTCCAGTGACCTTGCGGGGTGCTGGGCACACGCTCTGCTGGAAAACCCACCGGGGCCACGACAGGGGGGCTCAGACGTGGCTTGTGTCGGGACTACGTGTGGATACTGCCGGGCACCACGTGGGCCACGTGGGCCGGGGCTTGTGCAGAGGGCTCAGAGGTTCACAGCGACTCGCCCCACGCGGGATTCTATTGTCTCGGCCCTTCCTTACAAGGAGGGGAGCTTTTCCCGCCTGCAGCAAGTCACGGCCTCTAAGACTGGGACTGCCAGGAATGGGAGAGAAGAGTTGACCGTTTTTCTTATGGAAACCACACTGTAGCCCCCTGACTCATGTTTCCGTGGCAATCCCACCGCCCAAGACCTGCCAGGGAGGTGCCCGCCTCGCTCTCTGCTGCCTTTGGCTGTTTCCTTCCACTCCAGGACAGTCTGCTTTCCTCTTACGTCAACCTCCGAAGTCAGGCATTGCTTTCGAGACTAAATGACGTTAGGTGTCGTTACCTAGATCTTCAACACTTTCCTCCGATGCAAGCCATAGTGTAAGGAGCCAGTGACAGAGAGACAGGGCACCCGGGTCTGTCCAGCCCAACCTGGCACGAGTAGAGACCGGGCCGGCACTGGCCCTGCCCTGGGACATCATCTGAGAGACACGGTCTCTGTGTCATTAGGACACAGACACAAACACAAGGGCACAACTGGGCACGGAGCGAATCCGGTGTGTCCAGAGGGCTTCCTATTGGGGATTCAGAGGTGACAGCTTATCCACGAAAAGTGAATTATTTTTTTTTTACCAGTGTGACATGGAACAGAGCAAGCCTCACAGTTGAGGAAAATGCCTCATTTTCCAGCTCATGTCCCTGTTACACCCGTCACTATTTTCCAGCTGAAAATGAGCTCGAGGTGGCTGATAGCATGCCCTCCGTAAGCAGGTCCCTGGAACTGGGACGCGGGCACAGGGGTGAATTTCAGCAGCGAACAAGCCCTTGGTCTAGACACGCGTGTGCAGAAGGGAGGCTGGCTACAAGCCAGGCGGCACAGCTCACTTGCAGATGAGCACGGGACGCTCAGCAAACTCTGACGGAGGGAAAATGAAAAGCACGCAGCCCTCCAAGACTTTTGCTTCATTTTCTTAAGGCCGAGTTTGGCAGAGGGTTTGCTGCATTGGGACAGAGATATTCTGGGCAGGGGTGTGCACTGTGGCCCCGTGACCTCGGGGTGACCAGGCGGAAGGGGGGAGGAGCGGAGAGAGGCAGAGAGCCAGGGGACCCCAGCACTGTACCTTACTCACCATGTCTTGGGGCCACATCCTCCCCTCCCGTGCAGGGTGGGCTGAGCCTCCCAGTGACCTCATGATTTGGGGACCAGGATGGTGGCCCCCGAGTGGTGACCTGTTTCAGCTTCAGCAGGAATGAATACACACCAGTAATGATGTATTTGATTCTCATCTCCCCAAAAAACTTCCAAATATGTTCATCTAAGACTTTCTCTTACGTTCTTTTAATACCCGCAATACATTAAATATATGTTTTAAATATGTTCCCCATTTCATTGCATTTTCTTAGGAGAGGATTGCAGAATATGTAACAGCAAAAACTATTTCTAGTTGATAGCTATTATCAACGTTAGACTTGGATATTTCCAATAAGTGATTTTGCATCTTTGTCAACATTTTGACAACAAACTTTTATCAGTTGTTCTCTGTTAAAGACTTTTTAAAAAATCCTCTTTTGGTTTCCCCCTAAAAAAAAGAATACCTTCTGAGAAACCTCATTTTTACTCTTCAGGCAGCTGTGAAAGTAACTAACTGCAGTTACCTCAATAGCCCTGGCGGCTGCCCTTATCCCTACAACCTGTTCTTGTATTTCCGTCCTGAAATCACGACTTAACGGGATCACAGAGCACGCTTGGGTGGAAAACAATTAGGCTGATTCTTAAGGGCCCCACCACGGCCTTGCGGCCGCCTCCCAGGAAGGGCGGTGTCTGGGGGACTCCAGGCTCTGGACCTGGCACCTGTGAGTCCCCAAGCTCTGCACAACCTCAGATTTACCAGGGAACACCAAGTGTGCTTTTCAGTTAATTAAACAGTATTCACATGAAAGATGTGTGGCCCACGAGATGTACGGGGAGATCCCTTATAACCCCCTGCACCCCTTCCTCCATTCTCCGTTCTCCGACCCCTTCGCTCTGGTCCTGGTAGCCCCTACGTGCAACCTGGGGTGCTCACGTGTGTGGAGAGTGTGGGGGGGCCGGGGTGTGCAGAGATGCGCGGGGAGGTAGCTCCGTCCACGGTGCTCTAGGCCCTCCTCTTTCCACTGGGTCAGCAGGTGCATTAGGGGCGTGAGCCTCCAGCCCTGGCCACTATCTCTTTACAACACCTGGCGACCTGAGTCGGTGGCTTTTCTGACTCGACATGCCCCGCCCACATTGTTCCCGTGGCCCCTCATCGGCTCTCGTAGTTTAGAGCCACGTGGGACATTTGCCCCCTGCCCCTGCCTCGGCGTCATCCCCTGGGTCCGTGCTGGGGGGAGGCGGCGGTGGATCCGGGGGGCTGCGTGCGGGTCCTGCCTCCATCCTCTATGCACACTTACTTAACTTACTCTCATAATTGTAGTCTCCTTGCAAATCTTTTCCGTTCTGAATTCAGATGATGCCGCAGCTCCGGCGTTGGAGGCTCACCCACAAGGAGATGAGGAAGGTGAGCCCGGGAGGCGGCCGGTGGCGGGAGGGCAGGAGAGAGAGAGAGGGCGGCCAGACAGCAGGGCGGGGGGAGTCGTCCGGGTCAGAGCTGTGTCCGGAATGGACCAAATAAGCCAGAAAGAAAACACTGCACGGTCTCACCTGTGCCCCGGATCTGGGAAACCGAAAGGCAAAACTCAGACACATAGAAACAGAGAGTGGGGGTTCGGGGACTGGGGAGACTGAGGCAGAGGGAACAGAGCTGCAGCTGTGCAGGATCAGAACAGGTGCAGCACGGGACACAGGGTTCATGATAACGTCTCGTCCACTGCGAGTCTTCAAACCACACACGCAAAGAAGCTAGGTGAGATGGCGGGCACGCTGATTTGCTCTACTGTGCAAATCATCTCACCACATAACATGCACATCCACACCCCGTGTGGTGCACCTTACATATGGATAATATGGCAAACTAACGAGCAGAAACAGATTGTGTTCAGCCATTTCCAACTTAAGGAGGACACCCACTATTTTCCCAGATGACTTTGGGTCTTGGGGCTTTTAAAAGTCACTATGGCGTTTTTATGTAGCAGAACACTGAGGTTACTTTTCAAAATAAAAACTTCTTAGTTGACATTTTACAACGTGGGTAACATAAAATGCATAGTTCAAAGGGTGCAACAGCACATGCCATTTTCTGTTACTGTTTCACATCTTTACAAGTCATCATGACAAGGATACATTTCCTGTTTTTACCTTTCGTCAATTGTCTCAGGTATTTGCTAAGGTACAACAAATCCTCAGAGCAAAGGGGAACAGGATCTGAAAGCAGAATATTAAAAAAATTACATATTATGAATAACTCACAGATTGAAATATAGAATCGCACGGTGCTGTGCAAATAATAATAATGAAAGCTAATGCATGAAGTGCCTCACAAGGTGTGCTCCTGCTCTGTCACCTACCTGAGCTGTCAGGTGCCAATCCACAGACAAGAAGGCACAGGTCATTTGTCCAAGGTCACGTGGACGGTGAATGGCAAATGGGTTCCGCTTGGGGTCTGTGTTCTCAGGCACGCAATAGTGACCCTCACCAGAAACACCCAGTTTTGTTTGTTAAACGATGTTACTATAAGAGTTGTATGCCTGAAACGTTTTAGGCAAATGTTGCATTTTACATAATTGCATCTTGTATGAAATCTTTGACCTGAGCAGAAAACCCTGCATGTTCTGTGTGAATGACTATTTTTGCCACACAAGGACATATTTTTATACATTTGGACACTTTTCTAAAACACAAGCCTTTTAAAGTAAAGCCTGTCTGGCTCCAAATAGCTTGTAATTATTACACTTTTGGATAAAGAAAAAATATGCTAAAGTAATGTTTCAAAATGTATATTATTATTTTCTTTGTCTTATCCATATAATCATCTCAACAATTTATTTAAAAATACACACTGTATGTTTATTTATTGTATTGAATTTTTTGGCTTTTTAGGCTACCTGCTGAAATCGTTAATTGAGAAGATTCTGTGCTTTTGTAATGAAATAAAAATAATTCTCATTTTATTCTGGCTCACTAGATATCGCCTCACGTTACCCCACCCTTTGGACGGAGCAAGTTAAAAGTCGACAGAACAAGACCAATAAGAATTCAGGTAAGATGGGGCCAACGTCACTTTGTAAGAAGTGATTCGATAGGTCCAGAAAATGGTTTTATTTTCTTGGAATTAAACGTATAGTGCAGTTGATCCTTGAACAGCAAGGGGAAGAGGGAGACTGTCCCCTAATGCACAGTGAAAACCCCACATGTAAGTTTGACTCCCCAAAACTTAAGTACTAACAGCCTGCTGTTGACCTGAAGCCTACATGGTCAGCATAAATGGTCATTAACACGTATTTTGTATGTTATATGCATTATATGTTGCATTCTTACGATAAAGTAAGCTAGGGTAAAAGAAAATGACACTAAGAAAATCATAAGGAAGAGAAAATACATTTGCTGTTTGTTAAACAGAAGTGGATCGTAGTAAAGGCCTTCAACATCATCCTCCTCACATTGGGTAGACTGAGGAGGGGGTGGCCGTGCTGTCTCGGGGGGGTGGGTGGGCAGAGGTGGAAGGAAACCCATCTATACGTGACCCGTGCAGTGCAAACCTCTGTTGTTCAGGGTCAACTGTGTATCTTTTTCCTTGGCTAATGAGTCATGAAAATAATTCTTCCGGCTCAACCACCAAAACATACTTCAAATTTTGGCATTTTTATTAAATTTTTTAAATTCTTCAAGAGATTTTTCTGTGCATGCCAAGCAAACTGTAGTTTTAAGTATAAGACTGTGAATATTTGTTAGTAAGTATTTACTTTTGGCTTAATTTCAGAGATGTCAAAACACTTGGTTATTTTAAAGTCCCCCAAATTGTGTGGATTGGGTTTGCTACAAACCAGTGCTTGGCAGAACTTTTACCTTTTAAAATGGATCGTTTTGATTCTTTGTAGAGGAACAGTGGGTTGCTTCATCTTAGGTGAGGGATTTTGACTGTTTTCATGAAAACTGACTCCCTGAAGTTTTCATTTAAGCGCTCCACTGATTGCTGGTATGTTTCCTCTTGCCTTTTCAAATTGAGATTTCGTCCATTCTCCCCGAAAGGAAGCGGTCATCCGGGTTTAAAGCATTCGGCTGCGGAGGAACCACAGAATCAGTAACAGCACGGATTTTCTATGATCAGTTTTCAGGGAAAAACGTGCAAACGCAACACGGAGGAAGACTCCGCTTGTATTAAAGCTTTGTTATCTGCAGTTGGGTGTTTTCCCTGAAAGTGCATGTTTAATATCCACTCGCAGAAAGATAAAAAGGTTCAGGGTCCTAAGAGTAGTTTGATTCTCTTTCCTCCACCTGTGCCCACGAGGTGCACGGCCTTTTGAGGGCTGTTGAGGAGGGACACACCCGAGTCCTGGTATGTCACCTGCCACCGCAACACCGTCTCAGCTGCAAAAGGTGACATGAGTGACTCGTGGTGGTGCCATCGGGGGTTGAGGGGGGTGTCCAGTGAGCGCTTACTGCAGGATTTCCACCACGATGTCCCCGTCGCCACCTCCCACCTCTGGACCGCGGCCGCTTGGCTGCACCTTGTTATTGGTCAGTGATTTCCCATCGTCCTTCTGGGCTGAGGCAAGGCAGGGCGAAGTCCGGGGGTTTGGCCATCGCATACATGCATACGCATGGCAGGAAAATTAAAAACATGTTTATAGAGTTTATCTTTTTTGCAGAAATGACCGTTATGAGCAAGTATTCCCTGTCGTATAAGGATACTAACTTCTATACTTATGAACTTCAGAGACTGAGTTTTCTTCAGTTTTGTCACCCTGTTTTCAGAAGTTCCCTTGTTTCATTTGCTTCTGTGTCATACGAGTCAGTCTTGGGGAATTTAACTTAGAACACGTTGTGTTTCGGATTTGCTGGTAGATTCTGAAAGCAACCTGGCGATATGCAAGCTTCATTTGAAAAACGAATATCAAATTAAACATAGAATTATGACAAACAACGGCACTGGAAATATATGGTTTTTATAAAAGCAAATTTGAGTTTTAGTGGGACATCGTTTCGGGTTTGGCGTGTTGAGTTTCACGTTAGCTCACGGAGGAAGGATGTCTCTGAGTCCCACCTTTCTTTTGCCACTGCCAGATTTCCAAGCATTTACAAGACCTGCCAATTATAATTAACCAGTAAAAACTGAGCAGGCTTTTAGTATTTAGTGGGATTGAAAATAATGTTTCAGGAAATTCCAGTTTACATAAGTTACCCTACACTATAATTTGATTTAAATCAGCCCAAATGAGTGGGACACAAAAAGATGACATGGGGTTGATTTATAGACACGGGGCATGAAATTGCCGGATTACGTATTTGTCTAATGCTTGTTGTCCGGCTACAGGTTCTTTCTGAGGGTCTGAAGAAAGACCTAGTTGGTATTTTAAGACATTAAAAATAGTATTTGATTTATTAAGTTTTACCAATGAGACAGGAAATGATCATAGGGTTTACGAAATGATCCCTGTTGTAAGTGAAAATTCAACATCAGAATGATCTCATTTGTTTTCATTTTTATGTTTAAATAATGCTTTAACTTATAATAAGCTTTGGTAGATATAGACACATTTATTGAACAAAACATAAATAATCTGGGATTTGTTTATTATTCTGTATTTTCAATAATTTATTTAGCTTGTCGATACTCTTTCATGTTTTATAGAAAGGGCCAAACTAGAAATGCATTGCTTTTTTGTTTTGGCTGATGTCTCTTTATATGAGCTAAAAGTAGTATTTTTCCCATCAGTGTTTCGAAGATAGCACAATATTACTTTGTTACCAAATACAGTATGATTGCTATGCATGGAAATGCAGAATGAGTGGGAACTGTGATGGTGTGATCATGTGCTTTGGAGCACATGGTGGTAGTAGTTGTTTTGCTTTGTTTTGTTTTGTTAAAAAGGGACCACCTTGCAAAGGAAAATAAATTGCTCCTAGTCTATGAAAAATTGCACATTGTAGCGACCCAATAAATATTTATTTACTAAATTTGTAATAAAGAGTTCTACCTTCATGTGTTTCAGGAGTACTCCAATGGTATCTGCATTTCCCCCCCCCAAAACAAGCTAAATGAAACAAACAAAAGTAACCAAATGGAAAAATAACTAGAAAAGAGAGGTGATTTAAGCACCACTCGAGTTCAACTGTTGGAATTATTTTGATTGAAATACACTATAAATATAAATAAAATATTCTCCTGTTGGTTCCTTTAGTAAGAACAGTACCTCTTTCACTATGTGAATTGATATACATTAAATAAATGAGTACAGTCTTAAGTTGCTATTACTTAAGAACGCATTACTCAGGCCGGGTGCTGTGGCTCACGCCTGTAATCCTAGCTCTTGGGAGGCCGAGGCGGGCGATTGCTCAAGGTCAGGAGTTCGAAGCCAGCCTGAGCAAGAGCGAGACCCCGTCTCTACTATAAATAGAAAGGAATTAATTGGCCAACTGATATATATATAAAAAAAAAAATTAGCCGGGCATGGTGGCGCATGCCTGTAGTCCCAGCTACTCGGGAGGCTGAGGCAGAAGGATCACTCGAGCCCAGGAGTTTGAGGTTGCTGTGAGCTAGGCTGACGCCATGGCACTCACTCTAGCCTGGGCAACAAAGTGAGACTCTGTCTCAAAAAAAAAAAAAGAACGCATTACTCATTTTTCCTTTCAATATAAAATTGAGTACTTTTTTTTTTACTACTTTGAATCATCTCATTATATTCAGTTTTATTATTCTATTGGTAGACTATATACAAATCATTTATAAGATTTTATTAGATGTTTTGCAAGATGCTTGTAATTATATAAAATGTACCCACATATCTATTTATTAAACAAATATAAATCTGCTTGGTACCCTTTTCCTGTGGCACAGAGTGCTTCCTGATCTCTGCCCGACTTCCTTCATAACAAGTCTAGAATATTTAAGAGGGGGCTGCAATTTTTTTTTCTCTGTCGGACGATCTCTCAGTATCACCGTAGAATTACAAGTGCTGTTCATGAATCGCAAATACCAAAGTGCCTCGGGTTCTGTTTCCTGTCCGTAACAGAGCACCTTTTTCTCTAGAGGAAAGGCACGTGATCGGGACGTTTTAAAGCCCACGTGGGGAGCTGACCTATAGGGCTGGGGGCTCCCGTGACAATTCCCGCGTCCAGGAGGAAGCTCAGCTCCCTTGTGCAGGGCTATGTGAGGCCAGCGGGATTTGGGGGCAGATTTGCGGAGTCCGTGGTAAGAGATCCGGCTCGTGCCAGGGCCGCACGGAGCCTACTTCATGCCTCCTGCGGGGTTTGGACACGGTGGGATCTGTCGCTCAGGGCGGGTTGCCTTCAGACCCGGGCCAGACCAGGTTCAGGTATGCAGAGAGACCCCCACCGGCCGCCCGGCCCGCCCCAGGCCCCTCTCACCTCGCAGGAGTGTGGGGTGGGGAGGGAGCGGTGTCCTCGCTCAGTGGCTCTGAGGGCTCTGCCGGAGTGGCTGACCGCACCTGGACGCACCTGGAGGGGACAGGCCCTGTGAGGCTCCTCCCTGGCTCGGTCTCCACCAGCTGCGCCCCCCCCCCTCCGTCTAGGTGGCTCGGGACAGCGTGGTGGCTGAGCTCCTGCCGACGTGGCCGGCGCGTGGCCGGCGCGTGGCCGGCGCGTGCCCGGCTGTCAGGTGCCGCCGTGGTGAGGGGTTGTGTGTTGGGCTGGCACTGCAGCCAGCAACTCTGAGTGCAGCCGGTCGCCCCGCATGGGGGATGGGCGGCCGCCCAGGCAGGGCTGAGGGGGCCCCAGCAGCCAAAGTGCAGTTGAGCACGGGGTGGGGGTGGGCGCACTCTGGCGGCCTGTGCTGCCGGCCCCCGTTTAAGACCAAGCCCTTCGCCTCCCCCAGGTGGACCCTGAAGTGCCCCGGAGGGTCCGGCGCTGGGCGGGGCTCCCTGCGGGGGTCAGGAAGGAGCGTGGGGTGGGGCGCGGGGTCTGCGGGCCGGGGAACGGCGGCGACTTCTGTCCGCGAGGAGCCCACGTGTGGGCCTTTCTAACTGCCGCCGCCGCTACGGTGCCAGCGTCTGTCGCCCGGGGTGTCCCCTCGTGGCGCGT